GAAAAGATTAGTCCGAAGGACTAATGGTCCACAGCTACCAAGGCCTCCACCAGACTGAGTCCAGTACAGCTAGATGGTGTCTGGCTACCACCACTGACTGCTCTGACCGGGATCACAACAGACGGTCCTGGACAGAGCTGGAGAAGGATGTAGAACAAAATTCGAACTCACAAAAAAAAGACCAGATTTACTGGCCTGACAGACAGGAGAAACCCTGAGAGTATGGCCCCTGGACACCCTTTTAGCTCAGAGGTGAAGTCACTCCCAAGCGTCACCATTCAGCCGGGGATTGGACAGCCCCATAAAACAAAACGGGATTAATGAGGCACAGCAGTCCAGGGACAAGGACTAGAAGGCAGGAGGGGCCAAGAAAGCTAGTGATAGGGAACCCAAGGTTGAGAAGGGACAGTGTTGACATGTCGTGGGGTTGTTAACCATTGTCAGAAGGCAATATGTGTACTAACTCTTAAATGAGAAACTATTTATTCTGTAGACCTTCATCTAAGGTACAAAAAAAAAAAAGAATTATCTATGTGAGATCAAATTGTCAACAGCAACTCAAAACGTTTGATGGGAAGCCTAGGGGCCAGTGAGTTGAAGATAATGGTGATGGAATAATTTGGAAAAGGATAGTGAGAATAGCAGCACAACTGGAAGAATGTAATCGATCTCACTGAATTGTACATGTAGAAATTTCTGAAATGGTGTATCTTTGGCTATGTATATTTTCACCAAAAAAAGGTCTTCCAAGGTCGAGAAGGGAGAGTATTCACATGTCGTGGGGTTGTTAACCAATGTCATAAAACAATATGCATACTGACTGTTCAATGAGAAATTATTTGTTCTGTAAACCTTCACCTAAAGTACAATAAAAAAAAAATTAAGAAAAAAAAGTAAGGTTACAGGACACTCAGTTTCCTCCTTTTCTCTGAGATACTGTTGTTGTTAGGGGTCGGCAAGTCGGTTATGGCTCATAGGGACCTGTGTACAACAAAATAAACACTGCTGAGTCCTGCACCATCCTCACAACCATTGCTATGTTTGAGCCCATTGCTGCAGCCACTGTGTCAATCCATTTCTAGGAGATAAGATTAGTAATAATATCTCTAAAAGTTGTGGTAAGGATTAACTGGCATAATCAGAAGCGTACTATCAGCAAAACATAAGCAAATATGATATGTTGCTATTAATTATAAAGTATACACTTCTCTCGTTTCTCAATCCCCAGGACTAGTTT